ATTATAGAATTACAGATACATATTACAGATTTTCTGACAACTGCATAATTGAAAAGTTGTCATATTACAGAATGGCCAAACTATTTACAGATGGCACCATTAATTTATATAACTGAAAATTTGTAATTTCGTTTTAGTGGATCGTAAACACAATTTAATGTCAAGAAAGTTCAAAGAATACCAAATGCAATTAATAAAAAATGTAGTAAATGGTGTAAAAATAACACGGAAAGACAAGTGTGAAATATTGCAAGCATTTATAATTTCATTGCATATTCATTGAAAATATACCAATTTAACCTTCTCGTATTTATATTTTAGTCAATAATCGTGTTGATTAGACCATGTCCATATTCTACTTTTACCACATACGAATGGGATCAAGTAGTCAATACTAATCCTTACGCTGTCAAAAAATCGATTTTGACTGGCCCCCTTTCGCCCTCATTATATGAAGTTTGCAGTCATATTGCAATGGGCTTAGATTATAATTTCGTATCAAATGATGAAAGTGATTTGGATAATAAAGCTAGTCGCATATTTAATAATTTGTAAGTGAACTTTTTTTTTTGATATGAATCAAAGATACTAAATTCTGGAAATAAAATTTATTGAAACCTGATTCCTTTTAGGAAAGAAAAGTTACCACTGGCGCCCAAATCAAAAATTACAGAAGATGAACATCAATTTAATTATCCTATCAAATCATCAACTATATAAACTACAAACTTACAGTTCTTTTTTGATAAAACTGGAGAAACCAGTAAGGCGTGAGTAAAGAAGATGGGCAATTAAACAAAACTTGGATCCGAAAGAAAGGAGGGCCTGAAAAAATTATTGATGGATAGTAGTAAGGTTTGATCATAAGAAATAGGAATTCAAAAGGGTATCGGCCAAATGTTCATTTTTTACTGAGAGAAAAGGTAAGCAAACAACAAAATAATAATGGCTATGTTCAACGTGTTTTTGAAAAAAATTATATAGATTATTAATTATTCAACTTTAGATGACATAATAAAGAGCTTAATATTTCAGCTTTAGCACTTGGATGTTTAAGCAAGTTGGCAATAAAAGATTTATAAACCAGAAATTCAATATTTGGGCAGTAAAGAATTTATTTGCATTTTATAAAGAAAAAAAATCATGAAAAAAGTTTTTTATGCATTGATGCAGATTACCTTAAAGATCTTAAACAATATATAATAAATGCAAACGATTTCAAGGATGATATCCTTTTAGATTTAGGCACTTTTCAATTCCGATATTCCTATTAAATTCAAAGTTAACCATGAGAAAATTGATTATAAATTAGCATTTGTAGAAAATTTCAAAGTAATTAAATGCATTGCTGTTGATAACATTTTTAAAAAATGATGAATATATCATTAGCATATGTTGTGTATGTTTAATATGTGTTAGGACAATAATATATTTTAATAGTTATGTATGGACGATGATAGTAAAGAAAAAAAAGCAAAAAATATTAATATTATAAGGCTTATTGATCACTATTAAAGATTTGCAGTCTACTTCAATTCCAAATGAGACCAACTACAGGTATATATATAAATGATCTTTATATATTTATACTATATTAATGTAATATTTTGTTTCCGTCATCCATTCCTTATCCAACAAAAATATTTTAATAGTATGTATGATTTAATAATGACATTAAACAATGAAGAAGTTCAAATACTTCAACTTCTTATTCTTCTAAAAGTGAAATCCATTGAAATAATATATACACACATTTTATATTATAAAATTATTTTTAGGTAATAAAGATGAAGAATATGATGATGATTATGGTAGACAGTTATGTTAAAAGCAATCTCAACATGTTGAAGAAAACTTTAATTTTGGAGAGTCTGAAGTGAATAAACAGTCTATTATATCGTGATGATAATGATAACGGTTATTAATCTTCTAATTTCTAAATCATTTATTTTATTATCAATATTACTCATTATATTAATTTGTTAAAAGAAATTTATAATGATGAAAAAATCAACAATAATTTTAATGTTATACTTTCATAAAAATCAATTTCTTATTCTTTGGATATGTTTTGTCTTTGGGGAAAGGTGTTGGAATCATATAAAAAATCAAATCCTCAAAACATATAATTCAGAAAAATATTACAGTCCACTCTCACTGAAATGGATCTTGTGTTATAATGGGCTGAAAATTTAAGCCCGCTTTATATGTCCATATATAAATCATTATTGTTTATAACAGATTCTCTTTACAATGGGCATTTTTTCGTAAGCCAAATGGTTCATTATATAGAAAATGAACTGTGTAGGATTGTAGAATTGTCAACAGATTTAAGTGAAACTATATTTTAATAGATTTATTATGGAAAATTATGATGATTTTTAATAAAGGCAAAATTTGGGTAGTTGAGGTAAATGCAAAAATGTAATATAAATAATAATGATTAATAACATTAATGTATAATAATAATAATAGGGAGTTCACACAAAATCAAAAAAAGATTTGATGGATTTTGAAAAAGCAATGTATATATATCAAAAAAGAAAAACAAAGGTTCTAGTAAATGAATATGATGAATATAGAGAAAAAAAGCAGTAGTAAAAGATGAATCTAGAAAATCAAAAAAAAAAAAAAGCAGCAATAGTAAAAAATGAATCTAGAGAATCTAAAAGGTTGTAAATGAAAAAAAAATGAAAAAAGTGGTAATAGATGATATTAGAAGACATATTTAAAGATAACGAAATAATGAATATGAATATATTAATTTAAAAGATAATGAAATATTTAATGGAGATAATATTAAAATGGTGAAACAATTAATGAAAAGGTATGAAATAATTAATAAATATTTAGATTTATTCAAAGAAAAAAATAATAATATGATATTTTAAAGAAAATATCATTAATGTATTAATAAAATTAATTAATTGAAAAGATTTACCATATAATTAAATAGGTAATAAATGAATCCTTGAAAAATTTTAAGATTGAAATGTAGAAACTAATATCTATCATTCTAAAATCATGGAAAAAATCATCAAAATCATCCATCTTGTGATTTCTAAAAAATAATAAAGGAACAAAAATCACGAACATTAAGAAGATTGGAGATGATAAAAATAAATGTATTGTGAAACAGGCATTGATAATATAATGAGTTTGAAAGATGGATTAAATTTAGATGATCATGTAAGTATGATAACTGAATATAATAGGAAAATAACAATGATTAGTGGAATTTACAAGAAGAAACATTAAATTAAGGAATAAACAAACATTAAAAATAAAGTCAACCCATTTTTACCTCCTAACATATATAACATATATTTATAATATTGATGTTTAGTTGTTTGTGCAAACCATTTATCCATAATACAAAAAAATAAGTTATTTATTATTAAAAATTTTGTCAAAAAAAAAAAATATATATATACCAACCAACATTTTTATCAATATAATTCTTGTTGTAGTGCAAGTATAAAGAATGTTTTAAAAAGGGTAAACAAAAAAACTTTGAATATATTGCGAGATAACCACACCCTTTTGGGTCAATTACCTGCAAAATTCAATATTTTGGACTTATACCTAAAGGTAAAGACCAAAATAGCCTAATCCACGATATGACCAAACTTTGTTGAATGGCACAGTGGCACAGCAATTCTTCCAAGCACCACAGAAAAAATTTCTTTATACTTCTTTGTATATAATTCTTTTTGCAAATACATTTATTTATATATTCAATTATATATATAAATGCGATTATTCTTCTAACGTCTTATAGCAAACCTATTAGTTGTATATAATAATTAATTAAAACCAAGGGAAAAAAATTTACACAAAAATTTTAAAATAAAAATTATACACAGTCTATTCAGATCCCATAATATGTAACAATAGGGTTCAGGATGAATATAAATTCCAAAATCATCACAATTATAAATGTGTTGATAAGAAAGGAGAGATAGTTGGCAATCCCCTCGATAAGGACGGAATTGGGGTTCAACCCTTCTATCAACACACTTAGTGTTTAAGGCATAGTCAATCCCTTTGGGTGCGACATCTAAACAATTTTTTTGTTCATATTAATAATACCTGTCTAACGGAATTTCTAAATTTCCAAAAATTGTTACACGATTGAATTTATTTGGAACAAAAAAATTTTTTTGCTTAATTTCAACTTTGACATGTTTAAATAGCATCAATAAATTTAATATTAACGGCAGATTAAAAAATTCCGAAAATGGAGATTTCACATTTTAACAATATATATGGATATTATAGTCAAACCCATACATGGACGAGAAAATTGCATTTAAAATTCGTTATTACGAATTTAATTATAATTCGTTTGACCGCACGATGTTTGCTCAGATATTTATTTGTGAAGAATTAAAACGAAATGAAAAAATCATCCATTATTGTTATATATAACTTATGAGTGTAATATTGCGTTGGAAATTTTTCCTGATGAGGTAAATAAGATCTATTATCTTAGTCCTCAAAAGGTCCATCTATTCGTTATTCAAGATGAATTACAAAGGAACCAAGTAATTATGTTCTTATGAAGATGAACTGGTAGGAAATGTACAATTTGCATAGTTTTTTGATGGAATCAATGCTCTCATTTGGATTAAGGTTTCCGGAAACCTTGAGAGTATCTAAGAGATTACCTGGCAACCAGAATAAAATAATGATTTCAGGACACACCAAATTCAAACGTAGTTGTAAAAAGTTTACCATCACACTATCACAGGACTAAATATAACCCAATGTTACAAAGAAAAACCTTCAGTGTTTTGATATTAAATCTAGTTTATTTATTTGTTTTAAGAAGTTGAATGACATTCAAACATTTTAACATTTTCTCCATAAAAGCGTAATATTTTGTTGTATATACAAGTCAAGTTTTTTTTTTTTGATGCAAATAAAGTTGATTGATGTTTTTTTTTTCAATCTTTTCAAAAAAAAACCACCCTTTCAATAAATAATGATAATAATAAATGACATCTGTTTTCCTTTATCAAAACAGTCTCTGGCACCTTTGCTTTGACCGGGATCGATACATGTAGATGTGATGACAACGAATTCGTCGATCACTTCTCATAAGATCGAACCAAATGCAATTATGTAGGTTGTTGACAAATTTGCCCTGAAAAGTTCTCGACTTGACGTGAGTATCGGTCGATTAATTGATCACTTTCTCTTTTTTTAAACCAATGTAGATGTGATGACAACGAATTCGTCGATCACTTCTCATAAGATCGAACCAAATGCAATTATGTAGGTTGTTGACAAATTTGCCCTGAAAAGTTCTCGACTTGACGTGAGTATCGGTCGATTAATTGATCACTTTCTCTTTTTTTAAACCAATTTGACATGTCAGATTTATATGGTGATGAGTAGGGTCCCTCGTAAATATATGTCCTTCGATTTTGACTATTTAAAGATGAACAAAGATATCCTTGTTGGATACAGGAGATTGAGCTAACTGAGTCAAAGGGGTTTAAGGAAAATCAGCTAAGCGTTGATTAGGAGATCAAATAATAAAAAAGAAATATATAGAATTTTTGAATTGATCTGCAAGAGTTTTTTTGTTCTATACTTGATACTAATTATCACATAGCTATGCTCAATTGAAAAACATTATACCAATGCTTATTTACAAAAGTTTTAGAATAACAAATGCTATGAATATATGGATAACTTCTACGATGGAGACGATTTCACCGAGACTTGCAAGACCGATTTTTTAATCTGAAAAGAAGATGCAACAAATATTGGGCTATTCAACTCCAATACGCCTATTTTATTAAAAGCATATCACCGTTTAGAAGCGCTTTAATATAAGTGTGATAAAGCATCATACGTTGTTTTATTGTTTGGTAGATATAGTTCATATAACATATCAAATAATACAACTGTAATCGTTAGATTCCTTAACTTCCACCATCATTTGATATTGTTTTTCTTTTTCCAAAGTTTTACATTTGTTATCAAGTAATTGCTGCTTTTTTCATTATTTTTATTTTTTTCTCAGTAAGCTTGATAAGTGACTTCTCTTTCCTTAAACAATTTTCAAGTGCTCGAGTATTAGTATACAAGGAGCTATTTTCTCGTTTTGTTCTTTTTTAAAATGCTTCTAATATTGCTGTAATTTTTGGACACGTTATATTTTTTTTTATATAGGGATAAATAACCCCATGTATCGTTTAGAAAGTAGGAAAAATATCTTTGCAAGTATATTTCTCAAAACAAAAAACCTACTACCCCGGAAAGGATGCTTGCAAGGCTTAGTAGCTGAAAAATGTAAGGTCAGCTTATCCAAAAGATGCTTTAATGCAAGGGTACTTTATTAAGCCAATTTATTATTATTGGGTTTACTTTTCTTTTGGGGACCAAAATTATATTAAAAATATAGTGTGACATCATTTGATCGTTTTATTTGCAAACACGCCATAAATAAACATCTGACACATTGTTTTTTTACATCATAATAATCATGACTATATTGTAGATCTTTTACAGTGGTATAAATATAAATTAATTTCCCACCAAAGTAAAAAAAATTTTCATATTCCATCAAAAAAATATTTCATTAAATAATAAATACAAAATAACTATATCTCTGTTAAAATATTTTATATATAAATAAATCATAATCATAAAAATGACTCGTACAAAACAATCTACACCTAGTGTTGTTAAACATGACCGCCATCCTCAAAGGTAACAAATAATAATATTAATATTACCATACTATTATTACTATACTATTTTGTTTTGTTAAAAATTAAATTCTCTGAATCATGTTTTAAAGAAATGGATTTA